TTTTTTTCCAAATATGTAAGCACTAGTACAATCATATTGCATGAAATACATCAATTATCAGTAGAATGATGTGTTTTCTAACTCAAATCTACTCGATTCTTGAAATCACATCTAAGAGTCCCTTATGATTGTTTTTCACTTGGCGTACAGATTACGATGTCAAAGGCGCACAATTAGCCCATAAGCTAAATGATAGTAAAAAGAACAGAGGTAATTACTCAAAAACACCTAAATTTCGATTTTTACCCCCATTTTTACCCCGTGTAATCTTCTTTTACGGATTTGCGCATAGAAAAAGTTTAGAGTCATCCAATCCACGTAGGTCTTACGGCAACGAACACAGCGGTGTAGGCTTTATCAGTAACACAGCTCCGACGGCTCGGATCCTCGCGATGTCCTCCTCCACTATGCGATCCGTTTGTTAACCGATGCACCTCTACGCATTTCTTCTTCATGAGCTACTACTAAGACAGCGCTAGACTCAACAGCACCGTTGTACTGCGCAACATAACTGTTTATATTTCAGGGTCTTTAGTCTAACTATCTATTGTATCTAAATGATTTAAGCTCCTTTGGAAGTAGTAGTAGAAAGTTATATGGCTTTTTCCGTTACCCTTCAGTGATGGATTATCAATGAAAAAGGACAATTCACCATTTTGCCACCTAACCCGACCCATGACAAGATCTTTCGAAAAAATTGCTACGAACAAATACCGGAAACAACATACAAAGTTGGCCAGCGCCTGAAGATGTAAACATGAAAGATGAATGTATATTGTGTTGAATGAGATATGTGTAAATAAGTCTTTTCTTTTTTATACCTAATGCCCATTTGCAATCGTACGAAAAGAAATTCCCACTTGATCGGCTCTGTTGACTGATGCATAAGATACTGCTTATGTCTGTTAGTACATCGAATTTGCATTTGTAACTGTCATATATTTCATGTAATAGAGAATTCTTCTCAAAAAATTTTTATATCATTTATTGTCTTTTTTCAAGTAAGTGAATAAATTAATATATGATAGGAATAATTTAAGCGTTGGAACACCATTTTCACTTAGAGTGTGTACTGTCATGTGTGTTGAGACTTACTGTTCGTCTTCTTCTTCAAATCCGCCGTCATCATCCTTGATGTCCTTCTTTAATTTTTCTTTCGAAGACTTCACCTCAGTATCTTTCACTTCGAGATCCATCTCTTCTTTCTTCGATTTTCTTTTCTCGCCATCAAACTTTTCTCTTTCTTGTAATCGGCTCTTGTATTTCTGCAGCTGTTGTTTGACAGTGTCCCTCTCTTTCTCTAATTCGTCCAACTTGCGCTTTCTTTGCTTATTCAGATTTTTCAAGTTTTTCGCTTGTTTTCTGGCCCTGTTCCTTTGGCGCTTGAGGTGTCTTGCCCGTCTTGCAACTTTCCTAAGACGCCTGCGTCGTCGTGCACGTCGTTTCTCTCGAACCAATGCTTCCGCTTGTAAATTCTGCAACTGCATAGTCCGACATTAATGGTATTAGGTAGCAAACGTTTAGATTCAAACCTTTTCATCGTGCTGCTCTAATGTTTGAAAGAGCTCTTCCGGAGCCGTTACTGATTTCTAGAAATATTTGTGATTAGTATCATATCACAAAATGTTGTAATTAGCATTTTGATAATATTCGTATACTCGGGTCACAGATTCAGAGGATGTGCATGTTATGACGATCAATAAACTATTTTTGTTGCTGCCAAATTTGACGATGTCTAGTATTTCTGGAGTACTCAACGAATGATCAATTACATTTCTAACTTACAGAATGCGGTTTCCTCAAATTTATATCCGGAAACTGCATTCATTCTCTACTTATACGGTGCACCTTGAGGGTTTCTCAGGTCAAACACAAGTTGAATGTACTAAATAACACTACAGAAATAGTACAACTTGCTGTTATAAGTAGAGCTTACCTCCTTTACTTCTGCAACACTTGTCTTCTTCTGCTCTTCTTCTGGGGCACTCTGAAAGAATTACTGAATAAAAGCACAGAGAAGGCAAGTTCCTGTTTGAGTTAGTTTCTCATATCTCCCTACTACATGCAGTTATCACAGATCACGAAAAGCTGTCTATGTTTTT